TATTCCACTCCCTGTTGAGTTTCTTAGCCTGTCCTGGAAGAGAAATTAGTAACCCTGGCTCTGAAGTGGTGGTAGGGAGAGGTCACAACCAAGAAGGAGCTGTTTCCTTAATCCTGCAGTCTTGGGCCTGAGGCTAACCTCTTGCCTGTCTTTGGGGCATCTAAGTGAGACAGAAATTCATCTCTGTTTTTAACAGCTCCAGAGGCAATTCCTCAACATCTCTTGGTAGTCTGTTCTACAGTTTCTGAAAACCCTTGCCAAGGTCAACTAGAAAATAGGCCCTTGTGACCCAGAGTTTCTAAAAAGCTCACTTGACAAATTGAGTAATGAGTCAATCAAGAGGAAAAATAAAGTCAGAGATCACCCTGCTTCTGGAAGGAACGAGTCATCAACAGCTGAAGGAGTGGATTGTAAAGGGGCACAGAGGCCAGCATCCTGGAGAGTGTACAGCATGGCTCTAACTCGGGGAACTGAGGAGCTCTGTCGTGCCCAAGAACATCAGAAGCTTGAAGTACAAAGGATCATTTGTACTGTGCCCTGAGAATAAACTCAAATGAAATTATTCACAAGGAATGATTGTTGTCAAGGTCTTGTCATTGGAGTTTTCCCATTTCATGGTATCTAGAACTGATAACCCTTGAGATCATGTATAGTGCTTGAAGACAAAAGGCATCACTTAACATCAAGGAGGCACATTAAGAAAAGAGTGGGGGGACAAAGAGGTACAGTGCAGAAAGAATTAGAATAAAAACATGTGCTTGCTGCAGGTATTGAGACAGAGCTTAGAGGGAAGCTTATAGGGAATGTCAAGGGTCCATGTCTGTGAATCATGTTACATTTTACTGGCACTCTACTAAATATGATATATGGGAAATAATGCTTTATTGGATTTTTAAGAATACTTTTAGTCATTCAAATGTTTATTGAGGAGCACCTAGGTGCCACGCACTAGGCTGGGCAACAGGGCATGATGGTGCGTTCTCTTGAGGAGTGAACAGCTTATTGGGAGAGACAAAGTGTGAGCAAGGAACTGTGAAATAGCATTAAACGTGTTAATAGAGGCAAAGGACTTACCATGAGGAGAGAGAAAGAGAAACTTAGAAGAGCAGCACAGAGAAACTGTTGCAATTCTGGGGATTTCATTTGAGCTACAGATAGCCCTGCATTGGCATTTGCAGACTGAATACACATGAATGATAAAAACCCTCAGTGAGTAATCCAAAAGGTCGCTGTCATGAGGTAATTTGCTGAGACAGAAATTTGAATGGGGCTGCCAGGAGGCCAGACTGTACTTGCCAGCCACTCAGCTAGTGAATGACCACTCCTAACACTGGGATTTGTGTCCCAGTACCACTTAGCTCTCTTTCCTTTCTCATCGACATCCACACAAAAATTCTCATACTGTGATCAATTTTTTTCTTCGCAGAGTAAGGGTAATAGGGCGTTAATAAGGTAAAGATATAAGGTAACGAAGTAAGAAAATGAAGTAAGAAGCGTTTTTTTTGTTTTTTCGTTTTTTTGAGACGGAGTCTCGCCCTGTCGCCCAGGCTGGAGTGCAGTGGCTCAATCTCGGCTCACTGCAAGCTCCGCCTCCTGGTTTCACGCCATTCTCCTGCCTCAGCCTCCAGAGTAGCTGGGACTACAGGCGCCCACCACCACGCCCAGCTAATTTTTTGTATTTTTAGTACAGGCGGGGTTTCACTGTGTTAGTTATGATGGTCTCAATCTCCTGACTTCGTGATCCGCCTGCCTCGGCCTCCCAAAGTGCTGGAATTACAGGGGTGAGCCACCGTGCTGGCCAAGAAGTTTATTTGAATGGCAACATTTATTTAAGTAGCTTTAGAAATTACTTTGGCCCCATATTCATAGAACCATTAAGAGTCTGAAAAGATTCTTTACATTTTTCAGTTACACTTTACTGTACTTTATGGTGGACGTTATATGCCATGATGACGTTCATGATTTTGGAGACTCACCAAGGTCATGGATGAACCCTCTGAGAATGTCAAAGGTCCAAGTCCATGAATAATGTTACATTTTATTGGGTTTATTAAATATAACAAAATCTTATTTTAAGTTTAAAAAGTAAGATATTCTCTCTCATGTGATTTCCCTATGTTTTGGGAAAGGCTGCCATTCCCCTTCCTGTTTATGAAGGTTTAACATGTGTCACCAGAAGACAAAGGAGTTATTTATCCACAAAACTGCAGCCTGACAAGCAACTCAAATTAAGAAAGATAACTACATTCCCCAGTGAAATGCTTTCCTTTTGGTCTATTGCCTGGAACCTAACAATCACTGAAACTCAAACTGACCTCACCCCGTCTCCCAAATACCTCCAAGAACCTCAAACTTAACATGACATCACCCACAATCCCAAGCTGCTTCCACTTCTATCTCCTTGTTCAGTTATCAAGTAAATAAATTTACCTCCTAAGTGATTCTCAAATGCAAATGCAGCCAGGCCTCTCCAGCCCCACAGCACTGCCCCAAGCTAGCCGAGGGTCAAAGCATCTGTCATCACAATGCTCTGAAACTCTGCCTCCTCTATTCTCTACATTGATGCAGAGTAATTTTTCTCAAAATGCATGGCTTGCCTTCATTGGCTTCCACTGAGGTTTAAGATAAGGTCCTACCAAGAGAAAAGACACTGGGCCCCACTAGAGGGTGAAGGGTAGGAGGAGGCATAGGGTTAAAAAAAAATACCTACTGGGTACTATGCTTATTACCAGGGTGATAAAATAATCTGTCCAGCAAACCCCTATGACATGCAATTTACTTATATAACAAACCTGCACATGTGCCTCTGAACCTAAAATAAAAGTAAAGAAAAAAATTATTCACCAAACCCAGTGATCAAGGTTAATAACACCAGTAATAAGTCATATTGCTATCACGTACCCCTGGCATAATGCAATGAGAAGGCACTTCATCTTCGTGGTATTCATCCCTAAAATCCAAAACCCTGGTGTAATCATGAGGAAACATCAGATAAATGCAAATGAGGAACATTCTACAGAATATCTGACCAGTCCTCTTTAAAAATGTCAAGGTCATGAAAAACAGAAAAACTGAGAAGCTGTCACAGATTGAGAAGAAGAAGAAGATGTAATGACTAAATGCAGCATCATATCTTGGATTAGATTCTAGGAAAATAAAAAAGACATTAGTGGAAAAACTAGTAAAATCAAAATAAAGTCTGTAGTCTTAATTTTAAAAAGAAAAAAGATATGGTCTATCAACAACCAACTGATTCTTGGACAGTGATTCTGATGTCCACGGGCGATACATAACACTTTGAGAAATGCCTTGACTATGAGTTGTTTCTCCCCCTGAAAGGAATGAGGCACATCCCCCATATATCTCCCAACTTCCTGAGCCCAGCACAAACACATTCCTCCATATTTCTTCCAAACTTCAGAAAAACATCACCTGGAAGATCTCCGATAAGGAATGCTAAATGTATAATGTTAACCAATTGTAATGCTGTAACCGAGAGAATTACCTTGTTCCCTGTAACTTTACATATCCTGTTTACATCGGGCTATAAAAAGCAAGCACTCGCATTGTTTGAGGCCCTCTTGTATGCTGTGGAATGGAGGGACCAAGTTCGAACTTGTAGTAAAGATCCTTGCCGCTTGGCTTTGACTCTGGACTCTGGTGGTCTTCTTTGGGGAACAAACGGTCTGGGTATAACACCCCCAGTACAGGATGAGTTCTTTCATATCTCTATACATTCTGCATTTGCCAAATGCTGGTACTGTACTACTCATTCACCTTTCTCTTTTCAGTGAGATTCTGTAGTCTGTCAGTATTCAATTTAAATGTCACTACTTGAGCAAAGTCACATGTAATCTCTGGCCACTGAGAGATTTACGTGTGGCCAGAGATTTACACGTCTGGCTTTCCACGGCACTGGATACATATCCCCACTAAAGCAGGTGCCACAGTTTACTATAATAATTTGTTAACAGGTTTATTTTCTCCAGTCTTCCATGTGCTCTTGTGTTGAACTTTGAATCCCTAGTACCTAGCACTATGTTTGGCTCCTGCCAGGCAGTCAGCCTTTGCTGAATGGAAGGACCAGTGATTGAGGTCTGTGGCTACATGGTAAAATGAGAGAGATGAGTCATCAAAGGGAAAAACTGCTTTTTTGTTAACTATAAAGTGAACCAAGGCGTCAGAACAGTTAAAACAAGGATGAAGAGTGCTTTTAGATCTCAATCAATTTAAAAATTACTCGTCACATCTGTCCTAGCTAAAGACTAACTCTAGCACCTCCTGCGGCCTGTTAGTATTTCACACTTGGGCAGCTGATCCAGCAAATGTTCAATGATCGGATATGAAATACTTAGAAGCTATTGGCTTTGAAAATATAAATGTAAGAAGATGCCTAGTAAAAGCATCTGCTAAATATTTTTTCCTGTTTGGCACATTAGACTGCAGTATCAGACACATGACCGTGGTCATACTGTACACAATGCCCAATGTCTGCCAAAACTCTGGCATATGAGAGACTTAGTGTTGGAGTACGGAGGGATTCTTCCGGTATCCCCACTACACACTGGTGGAAAGAAGAGCTTCCAGAACAAATCCAGTCAGGGAAAGAGGCAAATACACTGCATTTAGTAACACTGCTGGAGCCTGAAGGTAGGATACTAAGAGGGCTCAAGCCTAAATCTAATCCAACAAGCTAGATTCTGAGTAACGACCAATCTCTGATAAAGCTGTTCCCCTAACCCTTCTGCTGCCCGAAACACTCCACAGCCCCTACCGGGTTCCCCAGTGGACTCTGGACAGCGCCGCGCCCTGCTCGGCCCCACCCACCCGGTGGCGCTTGGGCCCGCCCTACTCCCCCACCCAGGGCACCACCTACCAGGGCCCCGCCCCGCCCCAACCCCACGTGCGGGGCCCCACCCCAGCGCTAGCGGCCCTTTAAACACCCCCACCCTTACACATTACCCCCCCACCCGGACGGCAACCGGAGAGGGACAAAACTCATGGCGTACAGCCAGTTTCCTCCGCGGAGCACGTCCTGTGCTGCCCCAGCCGTTGGGGCCCTCCACTCCGGGCCACAGCCTCTTGGCGCCCCCCGGGCCGGGGCGGCCAGGCCGAGGAGTGTCGACGCGGTCCGGCTACGGGGCGGGGCCGGCGGGAGCTCCGGTCGCCGCTGCCGCTGCTGCCTCCGCCTGCCGCTCGGGCCGCCCGCTCGCCCGCCGCTGGGTGCGCTGCACGCGGGGGGCAGCCGCGGTGCAGAGGTTCATGCAGCGGCGGCGGCGGCGGCGGCTGCTGCTGCTGCCGCCGCGGAGGCAGACAGACCGGGCGCTGCCGCCGCCGCCCTCCCCCGGCTCCATGCCGCCGCCGCTGCCGCCTCCTCCTCTCCGGCGAGGGGCGGGGGGCTCCGGCCCGGGGTGGGCACCACTCCTCGCAGCGCCGCTCCCCTCCCTGCCCTCCGCCCGGGCGCTGGAGCCGGCGAGGGCACCCTTCGCCTCCTAGGAGTGCACCCTCCGCGCGCCCTGCCGGAGCGAGGGGGCGGGCGTGGGCGGGCGTCGGGGCAGCGGAGACCCCGCGCGGCTGCAAGAGGAGGGGGCTTCCCCAAGGATGCCGGGCAGCTCCCGGTTCCTAGGTGCGAGCTGAGTCTGACCGGGAGCGAGCGGCGCGTCGCCATGCCGGCGTGACGCGCCCCCGGCTGCCCGCGCGGGCCCCCGCGCTGCCCCACGCCGCGCCGTGCCGGCGCCGGGCTGCAGGATGGGCTGTATCCAAAGCATCACCTGCAAAGCGCGGATCCGGCGCGAGAACATCGTGGTGTACGATGTGTGCGCCACCATCGACCAGTGCCCCACGCGCATCGAGGAGACCTCGCCCATCGTCCTGCGCTACAAGACCCCGTACTTCAAAGCCTCGGCCCGCGTGGTCATGCCCCCCATCCCCCGCCACGAGACCTGGGTGGTGGGCTGGATTCAGGCGTGCAACCAGATGGAGTTCTTCAACACCTACAGCGACCTGGGCATGTAAGCGACTCGCCGCGCGGCACGGGAGCGGACTCTGGGCCCCCAGCTCTGCTCGCCACCTTAACCCCCCTCCCCAGCTCCTTCCTACTGCTGTCCCCATCGTCTTTCTAAACCTTCCTCCCGCCTCCTCTCCCACCTCCCTCCTCCCTACGCTTTTGTTTCAGTGACAGGGCGGGTGTAGGGAGGCTCCTCGCGAAGGCATTTTCTCGTGGTTTGCTTCTGACTCCCCAGAAACGCGAGGAGAACGGTGCGGGGCGGGAAGAACGCGACAAGGAGGGTTCTAGAGGCGGAGGTGGGGATGGCTGGCGAGTGCCCGGCGAGTTTCAGGGCGCCGTCTGTGCTTTGTGGGGCTCCCCGGGAAGAGTTTGGGGGAAACCATAGAGGAGTGGAGTGGAGTGCCGGGGGCGCATGGGCTGTGCCGCGTGTCGTTTGGAGAAACCGGAGCGGGCTTGGAAGAGCAGGTCCCGGGCATCCGAGCGGGAGTTGGTAGTTCTGTCCTCGCGACTGTTGAATTTCGAACCCTTTTCCCCCAGGCCAGGGAGCCGGGAGGCGTTTCCGTCTGGAACCACAAGCCGGACATAGTTGCCTCTCTGTCTCCGCGCCCCCTGGACCAGTTCTGGTGGGGAGCTGGAAGGCACCGGGTGCGTCCCGGCCAAGCAGGGCGGATGGCCTTGTGCGAGCAGCCTTCGGCTGGCGCGGCGCGGAATGTTTCTTATGCTAAAGGGAAGGATGGGTCTCTTGTCTGTCAAGGGACCTTACTTTTCAAAACTTTCCTAATTGCGGCACTGGAAGGGATTCCCCTGGCGCCCACCGCCGAATTCTATCGGCGAGCTGGGAGCTCTCCAACTTTCAGCAGCGCCGGTTGGTGCGCGCCGGGCTTGGCTGCTGCGGTGGAGACCGAGGATCACCGCGGCTCCTCAACCGCCAGGGGCCGCAGGCTGCGGGCGATCGCGTCCAGGACTTTTATATTTACCAAATTTTCATAACTCCGCACCCGCCTCCTGTCAGAACTAGACTCTGAGCAGGTGGCAACGACAATAGCTAAAAGGTTTAGGGCCTGCCTTCTACCTGCTGTTACAGTGTAGGTCTAGAACACCCTAATTAGCCTGCAACCTACAGGGAAACCCTTTTTCTGGAAATTCAACTTTATTTCACTTACTGATCTAAAACTCTAGAGCTCCCAAGGTTCGCCCATTTAATATGGATATGGGGTGGGGGAGTTCCCATTTTAAAAGGTCAAACCATCTTTTTAGCAGCAGTTTGCAGGCTTTTTATTGCGCACTGAGAGCATGTAAGTTAACAGTAGTCATAGGCGCTAACAGAAATTTTGACAGGTCGTTGTTTCCTTTTTTCCTCCCAAAGATTTTGCACTTTACTCTTTGAGCACAAAAGCTTAATGCTAGAGAAAACTCAATTTCTAGTGAAGAAATGTGAGGCCCAGTTTCCAATATGCCTCTGCACACTGTATTCTTCTTTCTGGAAGACAGCTAGATGTGAGAAATGAGGGATATTTTATTTTGGGTGAATCATGTCATTTAAAAACAGACACACCCTCAAAAGAATGATTATATGTGAACACATGTGTCTCTTAAAACTGCTTTTTAAAATAAATCCATTATTTCCAGCCAAGGCAGAGAAAGCCACAGGCAGGGCCAGAGCCCTCCCTCTCATTCCCCTGGCGTCACCCTGATGACGGTAGGTTTTTGGAGGACAGCAACTACTCCCCTCAACAGCCTGGGGCCTCTGGTAGAGGAGGCCAGGAGTGACTGTGCAGAAGCAGCCTCACTTTTCCCAAGACTGCCCAGCGGAGCTCTCTGTTGCCTCGAATCTCTTATGAATAAGTAAATCAAAAGCAAATATGTAAATACAGAATTATTTCCGTAAAACTTATTTTACCTTAGGAGAAGTCAAGTTGAGATACAAACAGATGTGGTAGTTGAACTTTGTGGAATCTGTAGGGAAGATGTCCTCATTGGAACCAACTTTAATGGATATGAATCAGTGATAGGATTCCTGACCCTTCTCTACTGAATCCTTGCATTTGGGATTTGGAAAGAAGTTTTGTTTTTAAACTGCCACTTTTGGTGTTTTAAGAGTCTTGGTTTTCATGTAGACGTAGGAGAGGAAAAATAGACCCCCAGTGAGTAATAAAGCATATTATTATAGATTTGTGTCCACAGTCTACCTCTTTCTTCATGGTTGCAATCATTGCTATGTGTTTAAGGCCACTTTGGAGCCCAGATTTGAATGAACCAATTTCCACAAGATATTTATGCCCAGAAAACTTTGCTAGTGTAAACTTTTTAATGGGAACTCATATTGCATGAAAGTTGCGGCAGTCTATTAGTTATTATGTGTACTTTAGCCAATACCTGGACTGTAAAAAATAGTATGGAGTGAATTTTCACTCCTGTGCAGTGTTCTGTCACATGAACCACAATATGGTAAAAGGGTCTGGGTTAGAAAACTGCCTTTTCAATATTTTGAAAAGGATTGTGCCAGAGGAAATCCACAGCATAAAATGGCAAGAAACTTCTGTTTTACAGGATTGAAAGAAAGCCTGAGGTTTTGTGGTTTAAATTTTAAACTTTTCCAAGAAGGGGTAGGCTCCTAAAAGAACGTTTGAAATAGTTGATGGCCATGATGACCAGAGCTTAATTTGAACTTTAACTCATTGCCATGGCACTTCCTCGAATGATTCTATAGAAACCAGACTGGTGAATAGTTGTGGCATCTATTTATTTCTCATTTGGCCCTGGTGAATCTTGCTAGTGCAGCCTTGAACAGACTGCTGCAAGTCTTCATCCCTTGGGGAGGAAGCGCTCCTGACTTTCTCAACCTGTCAGTAAACAAACATTTACCAAATGCTTCTGATGTACAGGCAGCAGCACCAAAGGAAACAGGAATATGCAGGCAGTTTTCACTGCTTCTCATTATAAGATGACACATGCAGAGAAAAGCAGTGCTCTTGGGCAGTGTGAAAGAAATGCCTGAGAGAGAGATCTGGGGGGCCAGGCAGGGTGTTCTGGAGGTGAATGGACTCAAGGCGAACTCCGAGGTATGGGTAATATTCAGATAGGCAAGGAGGAGGGACTAATTCCAAAGGCGAAGACCAGCAAAGATACAGAGGTAGGAAAATAGAAGGTGTTTTAAGGGGACATAAGTTGGCTGGAGTGGAGTGTCCAAGGAGAACAGTAGGAGATGAGGTTTGAAAGGTAGCTTGGGTCTGTTGGGTGGGCCCAGAATAACACAGTCTGGTAAAGGGAAAGATTAAAGTCCGATCTTGACCAGACAGAGGGTGTCAGAAAGCTCTTCATACCTTCTTTATACCTCTTGAGTATGCAGAAGCTTTCCAACAGAGGTGGAAGATGTTTATAATGGAACAGTTTTGAATGCTGGAGTACAACGCTGAAGAGGTTTCCTGAGTAAGATTTAAATAAGGAATGGGGTTCTTGTGCCAGGGATGAATGAGGTGAAGACAAGGTCAGGGAAAACGAGCAATAGCTGAAGGCCGCTCTCATTCTCTTTGAGTCTTCTGGGGCTATAAGGGAACTCTCCATGGTCAGGCTAGGGCTAATAGTGTGGAAACCATCTCCACTGCCAATTTGGAAAACTTTGGCCTGTGTGAAACTTCAGGAAGTCATAGCTCAGTCATAGCTTCAAGAGACAGCTCCCGCCTGTCCCTCTACTCCTTCTTCAGAGCCAGGGTTATTGAGGATTTGGCTGTACCTACCCACCTCTGTTGCCTGTTCAGTCTAGTCCAAGCTGATTTCTATCCATTCTGAAACTGCTCTTGCTAAGTTCGTCTGTGATTTCCATGTTGCCGAATCCCTCAGACACTTTTGAGAGACACACAGTTTCAGCAGCATTCCTTGTAGACAGGCTTCTTTGTCTGGAACCACTCCTATCTTTTAGCTTCTATGCTATTTTTTTTCCACTGTTTCTCTGTCTCCATATTACCTCAATATACAGTGAATGGGACTTTTTTCTTCTGCTTCTATGCTTTCCCTGGGTAATTTCATCCGTCCTAATGGTGGGAGATAACCTCTGTGATACACAGTCGCCTCCAGTCTAGATATGTGTGTGTCTTCGCACAATAATGACATGACACAATGAAAGACATCTCAAGCTTAGGGTATCCAAACCCGAACTCTTGATCCCCATTATAGCTCCCACCCAAAATCTGCACCTTTGTCGTTCTTCATCTTAATAAATGACACCTCCACTCTTTGAGTTGCTCGAGTAAAACCATCTCTATGTCACCCTAGATATTTCCCCACACATGCAGCCCATCATTAAATCCTAGTGATCCCATCTCCAGAATATATCTGTAATCCAGCCACCACTCTCTGTCTACTGCTACCATCTCAGGACATGTCACCATCAACTGTCACCTGTTCCTGCGGAGACTTTCTAACTGAACCTGTCACCACCATTCTTGTCCCGCTCCAGTCTACCTCCCACATAGCAGCCAGAGTGATATATTAAAACTGTAGATGTTACTACTTTCTTGCTTAAACCTTTTAATAACTTACCATTGCAATTGGAATAAAATGGGAAAAATCTCTTACATGGGAAGCCAAGGGGGGGGCAGATCACTTGAGCCCAGGAATTCAAGACCAGCTTTGACCAAGATGGTGAAACCCCATTTCTACTAAAAATTCCAAAAATTAGCTGGGCATGGTGGTGCACGCCCCATTTACTCAGGTGGCTGAGGCATGAGAATCACTTGAACCTGAGAGGCAGAGGTTGCAGTGAACCAAGATCGCACACTCCAGCCTGGGTGACAGAGTGAAACTCTGTTTCAGAAAGAGAGAAAGAGAGGAAGAGAGAGAGAGAGAGAGAGAGAGAGAAAGAGAGAAAGAAAGAAAGAAAGAGAAAGAAAAGAAAATCTCTTTGTGTTCTGTGAATTTCTGTTCTTAAGCGATGTCTTCCAGTCTTTGAAAAGAACCAACTTTATCCCAACTCAGAACATTTCCATATGCTGCTCTCCATCTGAA